CGCATATTTAAAAACAGTCACCGTACCACTACCACTACCACTACCACTACCACTACCACTACCACTACCACTACCACTACCACTACCACTACTACTACTACTACTACTACTACTACTACCACTACTCCTACTACTCCTACTGCTCCTCCTCCCCCTCCTACTACTACTACTACTACGAGTACTCCTGCTACTACTACTACTACTACTACTACTACTACTACTACGTACACCTACTACTACTACTACTACTACTACTACTACTACTATTACTACTATACTACTACCACTAACGTCAGTACGATTGGTACTTGTGCCCCGGCGAACAGCTTCCACCGAGGCTTGGGCACATGCTTGCATGGATTCGGGGGCACATGTCATCACATCTGCTTGCATGTAGTTTGTGCCTGAGCCTGATACGTCCGTGTGTGTGTGTGTGTGTATGTGTGAGGAGAGCCTTCTACAACTTCGATTATAACCGCAAGGGCAAGATCACGAGAGGTCAATGGCAGACCGTGTTCGCCACTGTTCGCATTGACGTGCAGGAGGTGACGGGCATTCCGCAAAAGAAAGCATCTCAGACGGCAATCGGTTCAGGAAGTGGGACTGCTGCAGTTCCTGTATAAACAGCAACCGCATGAGCGCGAGGGTGGCCCGTCAGGCCCGTCAGGTGTAGCACCCCTGCCTACACCCAAGCAAATTCTCGTTCAGGGAGCGAGAACCCAGGTCTTCCGCATGATTGCTTCTTTTGGGGAATCCACGTCGACATTGGAGATCTCATTTGACCAATGGCGCCTCTTCTTCGAAACCGAGCTCGCCGGTGGCGCCACCCTACCGCGATTCAGGTTTGGGGTCAATCGGCTTGGTAATTGTCGTGTGCATCTTACCCGCCTTAATTCGCACTCGGAAGAGGGGCGATTGACAGTTGATATTGGTACTATAGGGGCCCGAGTACTTGCCAGAACAAGTGTCGGGTTGCCGAAGAGAACGATAGTAGACCCCAAAACCCTAAAGTCTACAGTGCCCCCGTATTTCCGTGACGGGGGGACAGGAGAAGATGGGGACCTTGGGCCGTTGGTTGGTTTGTTTGTGGTGCCTCAAAGGTTTAGGCACTGGAAACGAAGAACTGGACACAGCCATGCAACGCAGAGGACAGGCCGAAACAACAGCCGTCTATCCTGAATCCGAAACCCCAACACTAAAAATCCAAGAATCCTTATATAGAGACCTTAACGGAAAGACGAATGAATGCGAAGGAGTGCATGGGGGCTGAAAGTTTATACATCCCGAGAATGCAAAAGCATACCGTGAAGTAATGTTGGAGTCCGAGATAGTCCGAGTTGAATTTGTCAATACTGTTCGTTAAGGTCTAACCCGAACTTCATTCTTTTTCTTAACGCTCCTGCATCCTAGACCACACGGTTTGGGCTTTATTAGGGTCCACTGTTTCTGCAGCTGCTTTCTGAGGCCGAACCGGTTGGAAGTCGGGGTGCTGGGGCACATCGTGGCTTTGAGGCTTAGATTAGGGGTTTAGGGTCTCAAGACCAGAGCCTTGTCCCAAACCAAAGCTTATAAACCAAGCACCTACGGTGGAAGCTGAGGACCTTAAAAGAATGAGCGCTCATGCTCGCACCCGCCAACGGACCCTGAAAGGAACCCGACACCCCTAGAGCGAGGAATGCGCTTTCCTTCTCTCCGAAGATCGCGGAAGCCAAGCGCCAAAGCGATGGGAGAAGGCCACCAGGTCTTCAGCAGTGCCCTTTTACTATTTTTTTGGCCTCCCGTTACGAAACCTGTATAATAGGAAACAGGATGCACCCTATGATGATAAAAGGATAATAACTGGGGAACCCATTTGTACAGACTCTTTATGCAAACCCACAAATCTCTCTCTCCCTCTCCCCCTCTGTCTCTCTCTCCCTCTCTGTCTCTGTCTCTCTCTCTCTCTCTCTCTCTCTCTGCCTCAACTCTAAACCTTCAAGACCTTGGATGTAGGGGTCGAAGTATGAAGTAATACTACCCTCTGTTAGTCCAAACTATAGTCATACAAGTAGTTTAACGTACTCCGGAACCACAAACCCCAAAGCACAGCCACCGAAAACACACTAAGCCCGAAATTCTCCGAGCGTAAGCGCCGAAACCCTAAACCCTAAACCCCAAGCCCTTACAACCCATAAATTGCATCAGTGGGAACCAAGGTGAAGAAGATGCCCGGAAAGGCTTTGAGACCTGCAGTACTAAGGGCTTCTCGTGGTTTTGAGGGCTTGAGGTTTTAAAGGTTTGGACGTTTGGATCTTGCGGGTGTAGGGTTTTGGGCTTTTGGGTTTGAGGGTGTTGGTTTTCGAGGTGTTTGGCTTTGGGTTTTGGGGTGTTTAGCATTGGTGGTCTGTTTTTTGGGGCTTACGGTATACCGTGAAGCTTAATGGCTGATGCAACGATCCGAAAATTTGCAGTTTCCTGCAGTCTTCAGTGCACGAGCATTCGTCATGTATGGCCCGAAGTGCAATCATGGTTTCATGGTTTGCGCAATGTTGCTGACTTGACCCGGGGATGTTTTTTTCTGGATTCTCCTCAGGATTTGTTTGTACTGGTTGCTGGAAGATTGTCAAGCCTCAAGCCTTGGCTGCCTTGCTCAAGAGGCTGTAGTTTTTGATGTATACGTAGTGTAGTTCCCGACACTGGACTCTTGACTCGGTTTGATTGGCAAATCGGGACCCGTAGCTTGAGACACCTAAAACTGCATCTCTAGTTTCGAGCTTGCTGTGGGTGTGACTTCTCTGGGCTGTGAGCAACTTTGAAACTCCACATAACACGCAGGCGAGTCGCTGATCTGTCCTTATCCAGCACCAAGGACATCGTGCTCTCTACAGCATAGTGAACGGAACGTGGTTGTGAGAATGTAGATAATCAACTGAGTGCCCTAAACCCGAAATCTCGAGCAATGACCAAAGCAGGCACTCAAAGCTTTGGTCGAGCACGTTGATGAGGTGGATCTTCGGCTGTGACTTGAGTGTTGTTGTTCCCGGCGTCTCTTGTCGTCATGACCTGCTGCACGGGCAGCCGTAGTTCATTTTGCCGGAAAGCCTGTAGAACCCGACATTTTGCCTTCTCATGCCTCAACCCTGTGGTAGAAGAGAGTCCGAGTTTGCGCCCACGCCAAAGAATTGGGCTTGTGACATCAGCTTCTGTACCCTGGCAGGAAAAGCCCACAGTTGGACTACAGTCTGAATCAGAACCTGCATCCAGAAGGAGAAAACATGGTAGTTCATCATCATCTCCATCCACACTTGCACTCAAGATGCTACACAAGTTCTGGTATTTTGTCGTCATCATCATCATCATTATTATTATCATCTGCAGTACCTCTTTAAGGAAAACGTACCGAGCTGCTGAGACGGAAAGAAGCCACGCCAACCGCAGAGCCAAGCACAATAACCACAGTCGCGAATCGCGCATGCCGCCATCGAAGAAGACCCAAGCAGCCTGTCTTCAGCAACGTGTTACAGAGGACCGTCGCGAATTTGCAATATTCACAGGGGGCGTAGCTACCGTAGAATCAGAATCATGCCTTGCCTAACAAGGTTGGTTCAATTTCGCCACGCCTGGTGTTACAACATCTCTATCGTCAGACATGTGCATCTCCAGAACATTGGAGAACGCCGGGCTGGAGACTTTGTCCATCCCCTGCTAGCTTAAGTGACCATGGCTCCGAATTGCCACATCGGACTTCAGCCTTAGAGTATATCATTTGGGCCTAATGATGAAGACTCAACCACCAAAAGCCACAACCACCCAAAGCCTGAACCCACCACGTCGATGTGGCCAAGGAAGCGGCGCACACTGCTTTGCGCCGGTACATTAGCGGGGAGGCCGCATGACTGTGGGATGTTGCAGATGCCTTTATGGCTTAGAATCACGGTTTCAGAGCCCTAACCTAAACCCTAAGACTCTAAGGAACCACCGAAGTCGAGGGTCCGCTACCTCCTACGGACCAGGGGAGTAGAGTGAGTAGAGCTCTTGGCTCTTGACCGTTGCCGACCCAAACGCAAGAACACCCCTGAAATCCAAACTCCGCGCCGCACCCGTGGCTAATGCTCCGAAATGAAAGGGCAATAGTTAAGGGAAGACCTTGCCAGTGAGCTTCCCGATCCTCCGCGAAAACCCAAGCTTCGCCTTACGTTCGACACTACGGGAGTCAATGGCGTCGTCAAGACTTCCAGCACCTGGTACTCGTAGTTGAGCATGGGGTCCTGACATGTCAGCAATCCTGCCGATCCTACTGTGACCATTGTGCTGCACTTCGCACCAAAGAAGCCCGACTGCATCGTCCGAGTCGCGAGAGTCCCTAAACCCTAAACCCTATATCCTGAACCCTAAACCCTGAACCCTGAACCCTGAACCCTGAACCCTAAACCCTACCCCGGCCGACTTAAGACCACATGCTTCGCCTGGGAAGTCCGAGTGTGAGCGCGGAGCCCCTACTTTAAAACGCTGACGAAACCGACCTGAACTGATGTGATTAAGGACCCTAACCTATGGGAATTCTGGCCCATTCCTTGTTATGGGTAATGGGATTTCTATCATCAACCGTAAACCCCTATAAACCTTAAGCCAGGACGTCCCTCCGGATGCTGATGCCGGAGGGAATCCTTGGTCTTCGAGCTCAGAGCTGCTCGTTATCAGGAGTTAATAAAAGGGTTTTAGGGTTTAGGGCTTTAGGGTTTTAGGGGTTTAGGGGTTGAGGGGTTGAGGGGTTTAGGGTTTCGGGGCTTAGGCCATAAGCGCTGGAGTCAGGAGCTTGGCTGAAGGGAGTCAGCGCTTAGTGCATTGCAGTCCCTGCTCAAAAACAGGGCTTAGGGAATCAAGGCGTGTTCAAGGATATTAGGGTCTAGGGGGATTCGGCTTCAGGGTTTGAGAGCGCGTATGTAGTTAGATGTCGCAACCTACAGAGATTTCACGGGTCGTGCGGCTCAAGGACTCAGTCGTGGGTTGAGGGGTAGGGTTTAGGGGTCTAGGGTTGCGGGCTTAGGGTACGTAACTCTGGTCCCATGGTCTTTGCTTGGCATTGTAGACTACGCATGTCTTCTGGGAAACTTCTGAATTACGTTTGGCCGTGTCGCCTACCTTTTCACCTACACGTCGCTTAGCAGGCAGTATTGGAGGCTAGGGTGTATGTGCCACTGCCATTACCCTTCTACGTCAAGTGGCCATGGTGTTTGTTAATCTCAGCTGCTCTTGTCCACACCTTCAACGCCAGCGCCCTCCGCCTCCTCAGGATCCTGACGCCACAAGTCTAAGTCTAATCCCCCAGAATAAATCTGACGAGTTCCTAGATCAAAGTCTGTAACCTTAAAGCACTAACAGACCGACAGGGATTCTGGCAATTCCAGCGACGGAGATGGGGAGTCCTCCAAGCGCCGCCGCAAAGGCAAGAGGCGCGCGCAGGGTGGTTTAGGCTTCCAGGCTTTCCCGGCCGACTCTCCAAGCCCGGATGCAAAAAAGCCTTGGTGGGTGTAGGGCTCTGCCTGTGTGCCTGTGCCGTGCTAGCTGCTAGAGGCTAGAGGATCATTGTCTTCTGCGTGAGTGTTCCTGGTGTTCGGCTGGATCTCCAACTGGGCGACGTCATTAGGCTTGTAGCAACACCGAGCACTTGTGCTGGACACGTTTTGGACGATGCATGGCCCGAAAGCCTGAATGCTTTCGATTTCTGTGTTGGCCGGGAAGTCGGAATCGTTGAGCCTCTTCGGCATGGATTGACGATTCCGTTGCCCATGCAGAGTTCGCCCTGGTCATAGCACCTGTGTAGCTCCTCGAGAGCAATGCCGGGGTCTACAGTATACGACAACTTCACAGAAATTTCAGGGGAACCGGATGGGCCAAATACTTTAGGTTGTTCGGACAAAGATCGAGAGTTTACTTGGCATTGACAATCGTAAGGACTGCAATCATGCCATGGCACTATTCGCTACGCTCCAGCCGACAAGTACTGCTGCTGCTGCAACTACTCCTGCTGCTACCGATTAGTCTACTACTGTTACTACTGGTACCAATCACGTCCAACTGATCGAGTCCTCGACTGCAGCTAGTCCTTCCACCACGCGAAGCGCACAGAATACCACATGTGATCTGAAACCCGCGTTTCAGAGTGCATGCCGTGACCGAGGCGAGAAGAGGATGGAGCTCAGGGCGATACTTCCAGTGACAGCGATGAGGGTGGCTCTGCTTCTCGCAGGTCCCTGAAGCCAGCAACGGAGGACGGGAACTCGGCTTCAGCATCCAGTGCTGTGGGAGATGTGCACGGCGACGGGGACGCCGACAACGCGGCGAGCTCCGAACCCACTGCGTCCAAAGGCGGTGCAGAGACGATGCCTTGGCCCAAAGATGATTCCAGCGATTGGAGCAGCAGCTCAGATTCCGATGTCGCAGAGGGTGAAGCGAAAAAGGCTGCCGTCAAGAAGAGTCTCGGCGCGCATTCGGGCGTAGATGCACGCCGAGTCAACCGAGACAAGGCCATGCAGGGACTTTTTCTTCAAGTGTAGACCTCCTTCATCCTGGGGTCCTGTTACCCCTACAGCGGTTTAGGATTTAATTAGGGTTTAGGGTTCCTAATCGCTCTTGCCTTAAGACGGGGTGAGGGTTGCATGGGCGCTGGCCGGCACCTCAGTCCGTGCTGAAAGGGTTCCTATATCATATACCATGTGACCCAGTAACCCCGTAATTTGAGGGAGCTGAAGCCCAACCCACGAAAACATGATGCCCCGAACTGTCAACATTGAACTTACGTACACATCAAATCGTAATGCAAGGGGTCCGTGGTAAGTTTGGATGCAAACCCGAGCCTTCCCACCCGGCCCTTACACCTGCACCCCAAAGCTCCTACGTCTTAAAAAACCCTATGCCCTAAACCCTTCTCTCGGTGGGGCTACCTAGTGCAGTTCGAAAAGGGCCCACCAAAAACTAAAAGGAGCAAGGGGAGGCGGAGCCCTGAAAGTCCTTCAGGTGATGAAGGCTTTCACTGAGCGTGATGATACAGCCATTGCGCAGCTGAACGACGATGAACTTCAGGCACTGGCTGAGCAGGTGCAGCTGCAAGAGGAGATCGAGCAGCCTCCCGGTACCTAAACCCTAAACCCTAAACCCCTAAACCCTAAAACCCGGTACTTTGGGGGTTTCGGGATCATGGTCTAAGCTGATGTTGCCATGTGCTTTGAGCAAGGTGCGCCAGCAGCGTAAGGTTTGCTTGAAGGGTTTAATTTTGGTTTGGGATTTTTAAACGAACACACATGGTAGCTGTGATTCACGGAGCTTCAGGTTGAGGCCTACAAACCCGAAAGCCCTGAACCTGTTTGGAGCCTCACAGCTGAGTTAGCTGTGGTTTAGGGTGATCTTGCCCTGGCTTGCAGCATTGCACCTTTCAAGTATTCTGTCTGACACAACCTGCAATCGGGCTCGTCCTGGCTCGGTGGGAGGCAACAAAAACGGTCAATCGCATTACCTGGACCCTGAAAGTATGTAGAACAATAGCCTTTTCAGAGGTTTTGGGCCATTAGTTTACCCACTTTTGCAAGGGCCTCGAATACCTCGAGGTTTGATTTGTCGAGCATCGATGCCTTTGCCTACGTCCTCCTGGCAAAGATGGGTTCCTTCAAGAGGGCCTTCAATTGGTTCGATTTCAACTGTTCTAAGAAAATCACGAATGTCACCTGGGACACAGGCAGGAGTTCGCAAGAATAAAGTTGCAAGTGGTAAGAGATCTTATGTTTTGTTCCATGAAGGGCAATTAACTCCTAAGTTCCGTTATCTCTCAGTATGTCACCTGAATATGTTGCTGGTATGTCATTTTGGGTCAGGTTAGACTCCATTACATTAGGCGGGACTAGATTCGGTTCTGCTACATGTTTCTTATCTTGTGCTGCAACATGTCATGTTATACTACATGTCTCAGTGTCATTTTACATGATGCATATGGTATTCTCAGCTAGCCGCATAGTTCGAGATACGATCGCGAGCTTCAGACTGGACTTCAACAGTTGGCCCTGTGAGGTATCCTGCTGCTCCATGTGGATACGGAGAAGCTGACCGGGTTAAAACCCAGCAACATCTTCTACCGCATGGACACGTGCACCGAGGATCCACCCACCGGAATGATCACCAGCACCTCGGCGACGACATGATTGAACATAGTTGCGGTTGCGTACTGTTCTTGGGGCAGGTGGGAGACCCAGGTGTAGCATCCTCAAGCCTGTAGAAACACCCAGCTTCAACGTTACGGTTTCATGTTTCACACGCCACATCCTCGCAGACGAGACTCAGCAGTCCCATCAATCCGGCATATTTGGCCTTGTTAGAGTCAAGCCTTTCCGAGGCCAAACATACCCAGCCACTGTTGCACCTGAAAGACCCACAGCATGCAGTCCAGGACCAATCCCACGGGAGGACACATTCGGTCACGGCCCCCATTGCGTGAGTTTCCGATCCGGTCTGAAACCATCACAATTGCATCCAGGACCAAGGCCTCAGGGACCCTGCAGAAATACACGCTCCCCCCATACTACAACATGATATAATATATATATATATATAATACAATATAGTATAGTATAGTATAGTATAGTATAGTATAGTATAGTATAGTATAAGAATACAACCCCAACTGTCGGGCTGCAGTCTACAACACTCTCGCACTTGAATACCTGAGTTGCCTGTGGCCTCCAACTGCAAAAGTCACAAGACAACAATTTCAAGGATGTAATCCGGAGCGCGCCTTGTTGCATAAGCTACCCGAACTCTGCACCCTCAACCCTAAACCCACATCTACAGTCTGACTGCCCAAAGGGAAGAAGTGGAAGCAGTTCTTCAGCGGCTTCCAAATTCCGGAAGAACTCAAGAAGCAACTCGAGGAGATTCCTTGTTTGAGGATATAAGATCAATGATAACAATATTGACAGCACTAATCATGGCATTCTTCCTCCTACTACTACTACTGCTACTACTACTACTACTACTACTACTACTACTACAACTACTCTACTACTACTACTACTACTACTACTACTACTACTCCTACTCCTACTCCTACTGCTACTACTACTACTACTACTACTACTACGACTACTGGGATAATAATAAAGCTCAATCATGTGTAGCAATATTAGATAAATAGTCATAAGAGCACTAGTGGTCACAATAGTAAGAAGAAGAGTAATTACAAACAGTAGCAATGAGAAGAATACTACTAATAGTAATCGCAATGACAACAGAAATTATTTGACACAGAATTCTAACGATATGTCTCTCTGGAGCCTTCTACCAAGAGGTTTGGCTGTTGCACGTTGCTTTTGGTGCTGGGCTGGTGGTGATGGCGGTGTTGGTGGTGGCGGCGGCGGTGGTGGTGGTGCCGGCGGTGGTGATGGTGGTGGTGTGTGGCGGTTACTGTCACTGTTGCGATCGCGCTGGTGCATGTATGTGCATTTTTCTTTACATTACATAGACCACAGTACCCCGTACAAGCTTGTAAGGTGTCTCCCCCTCAAATGCAAATGCAAACAAGTCAGTACAGAAATAAGTAAATGAATAAATAATTGAATGAATAAATAAATATAGATATATATATATATATACACACTTACATATATTTACATAGATGTATGTTTATGTATATACACATGTATATATATATATATATATCATGACTTCGTGTATGTTTTCCAGACACCCTCCACCCAAAAACCCACTCCCTGTAAGCCCTCAAAGCACAGCCTCCCGGCTGATGTTGGAGTTCCCTCAAAGCTCAGCCTCTGGTGCCCATCTGGCATGGGCGTTGATGTCAAGAACTCCAACATCAGCCGGATTGTTTGGGGGCTGATGAAAGGCTAGTTGATGTCAAGAACTCCAACATCAGCCGGATTGTTTGGGGGCTGATGAAAGGCTAGTTTTGAATTCTGTCTCGGCTACCTGATCGAAAAGTTCGATGTTCTCGGATGGGCTTGAGGCGGGACTCTTGGCTAGATTGTCGTGATGTGACTGTTCAGACTCTTGAAGAGTAAGATGAGAAGCTTGGCTGCAAAAACTCAAACCCTAAACAGATTGCAGGAGGGAAGAAGCTTACGAAAGAGGGCAGCAGCCCGAATGAAGCAATACCGGAGAAGAGGAAGCCTCTTCCGAGGCACCTTCTGGGTGGTTCAGAGGGTGATTGATTCCACTTTTCAGACGTTTTCCTACGAGGCTCAGCACTCAGCTGGGTATAGGTTTTAGTTTTCGGTATTTGGGCCGCCCCGAGCTGCGAGCCCTGAAGACTTATCTGATTTGTTGTCGAGGTTTTAGGGCTGAGTTTACCCTCCCCCTAAACCCTATATAAACCCTAAACCCTTCTTGTCCGTAGGCTTCAGCATGCGAGGATTTCGGGCCGCCTTTTGAGCACTCCTTGACAGGAGACCGAGGACAACGCGTGGCAGTGCAGAGGAGGCTGCACATGGGTAGTTCCACTACGGTAGTTCTCTAAATTAGGGTCCATCCCCAAATGGTACGGCCATGTATGGCACCCTTATAAACAAAGACGATCCAAAGGGACGCTAATTTAGAGAACTCCCACATCATTCGGGCAGACGACTGCTAGCTCCTGCTTTGCACTGGGTTCTGTACAGGCTTGTGGCTTTTGAACTCGATCCCCCGGACTCTCTAAACCCCCTAAGCCCGAAAGATTTGAACCTCAGACCCTGAAATCCTAGCAAGGCGGGAGGCAAAACCACCCCTGAAATCGGAGGACAGAGGAGCCGTTGTTAATCGATTGGCCGTGGCGGCGGAGGTTTAGGTTTATATTTGGAGGGGTTGGCTGCGTGCAGGGGTTACTCCTTTTACCTGGGTAGTTGTCAAAATTATGGTCCCTTGTGGGGTACCCTAAATAATAGGTGCCGTATTATAATAAGGACCCAAAAAGGGACCATAATTTTGACAATTATAATTTTAATAGGTGCCGTATTATGATAAGGACCCCAAAAGGGACCATAATTTTGACAACCACCCACCTGCGTCTGCATGGCAGGGACTCCGACTCAGAAGAGGTGGAAGAAACGGAAGAGGTGCCACTGGAGTTGCACGGTTTAAGGTTTACCTAGGGTTTAGGGTTTAGGGTTTTCCTAGGGTTTAGGGTTCAGGGTTTTCCTATAGTTTAGGGTTTAGGGTTTTCCTAGGGTTTAGGGTTTAGGGTTTTCCTAGAGTTTAGGGTTTAGGGTTTAGGGTTTTCCTAGGGTTTAGGGTTTAGTGTTTAGGGGTTTGTCGGAGGCTGCATAGGGTTACCTTGACACCCTAAACCAAGTTTGTCCGATTGCTGCCAGGAGAGGCAACAACGCCTGGCACAAGAACAGGACCCGGGGTTCGCGCAGCGCGTCGGGCTAATGATAGACGGTTTAGGGTTTCGGGGTTAGAGGTCTGAATATTAAAAGATTAATATTCTCCGCAGGGTTCCTTTCCGTAATTCTAGTATATACCCAAAACCCTATTCAGGCCCTAAAATATAAGCTTTCCGTTGCACCTTAGCAAATCACAATTGAGAGAATGGTGTGTTTGGGCGTGTCCGAGAGCTACTTCCCTGCTGCTTCCGATCGGCTTGTCACCGAATCGTTACGCAAAGAAGACGAAAGATGTGATAATTGCGCCTAAAGCGCTGTTCATACAACCTTTCAGGAGCTCCAGAAAACCGTCATAGAAACATGGATTGAAGCCCTCCTAGAGCTCCGAAAATGGTTAGACATCTTGTAGAACAGCCCGCCAGGCTGGGTCATAGAGAAGCCTGAATATCTACTAAGACTATTCCTTAAGGTTCTTGATTTTGCTTATTCGGAGCGGGAAATAAACCCTAAACCCGAAGCCCTAAACCCCTACAGCCTAAACCCTAAGCAAGCATTTGGAGCCGCAGGGTTTTGCAACAACAGAAAGGCTGGGTTCAGGGCTCCGAAGACACCTCTCCAGAGGTGGTCAGAGCTCTGAGAGTGGGAAATTTCCTGGGCATGCATTTTTAGGTTCAAGCGTTTAGGGTGCATGTAGTGGTGATCCTCAGGCGACTGAGCGAGTCTTGATGCATATAACTTAATACGTAAAGGGTCAGGGTGCCTGCTAGTAGTGAGCTTGGGGTGCGATGTGTTTTTGGGTAGTAAACTGCGATAGGGATGAAAAGGTAGTCTCATCCCCTAGGAACTCGGTCTTCTTGTCGAGGTGGGCGCTGACTCCTAACCAGCTAAACCCAAAAGCTCCTCATTTCGGAGACTTCAATATCACTCGATTACCACAACGTGTACCCGGAATATTAAATACTAGATACCATAATTATTAGGTACAAGATATTGCTGGTATTGGAGTCTCTGGGACATAGCAAAGCCTTTTCGCAGCCCGTCCCAAACCGCCGGCTCGCCAGGAGAACTACAGGCGCCGGGCCTGCTGCGTGTCCCTAAGACCTTGGGGGGACTCAAGGACTGAGATGAAGAGGTTTAGGGTTTAGGGTTTAGGGTTTATAGGGTTTAGGGTTGATGACGATGATGATGGTGCAAATGATGATGATGATGATGATGGGTGCAGATCTGATCTGTGAGCATGAAGCTACGGGCTTCGAGAAAGTAGGCTCAGCACCATGACTGTACTATCCTTTGGTTGAAAGCTTCATGGACTTGAGGGTTGCGTGTGATCCGTGGACGCTCCCTTCGTCAGCCTTCTAGCTTTCAGATGGGTAGTCGTCAAAATTATGGTCACTTTTGGGGTACCCTAAATAATAGGTGCCGTCTTATAATAAGGACCCAAAAAGGGACCATAATTTTGACAACCACCCAGATAGACTACGCTGTTGTGAAGAGCTACCTTGTAAATCCGACCAGATTTGCTCCTGGACTCTGCCAGGGCATGGGTTGAGCGTGAGCTGTCGTCCATCGCAGATGGCGACTACAAAGATTTCAGCGACGCCGTCTTCAGAGGGGGAGCTGCTCCTTGGACCTGGCAGTTCCGAAAGTGTTGTCATCATCATTGCAGCTGATTTATTCTTGGTTGTTCGTAACTTTGCACTGACGGTCTTCTCTTCTTGCCGCTGTAATCCCGACTGACTGATGTCAGTGTAGTTGCTGCTGCCCTCGCTGTTGCTACCCCGGTCGCAGCTGCTTCTTGTTCATGTCTTGCTCCTTCACCTGACATT